CTGGAGCTATGGCGCCGCAGGTGAGTATCCCTGGCCTCCGCCAACCATCTCTCTCTCTCTCTCTCTCCTACTAGCGCCCAGCGCTGAAGACTACTGCTATCGCTACTACTCCAGAGTGCCGCTGCTGAGTCCTGAAGACTACCTCCTGCCCTCTGCACGTGAAGTGCCTGGGAACTGCCTGCAGCCTACAGGGCGGGTCAGCATTATATAGTGCTGGCCCGTCCGAGAGGCTGCTCGTGCCTATGCCAAAACGTGCCAGACCCTGGGGTTGACGCTCCACAAAATAGGCCTTACAGGCCTGAGCTGTCTGGTGCCTGAGTTTCAGGGTAGGCCGATCTTGCAAGGGCCTGAAAATGGCCCGTCGTTTTCAGGCTGGAGACCGAAACGACACAGGGCCTGAAACAGGCCCTACCCCTACGGACCCTTAGTCTACCAGGTCGGGCTCTGCTGGGCCCGTGTGGTACGGAGTATGCCACACTTCCAGAGACAGACAAGTTCAAAGGATGATGTGTCTTTGTGTTGGCCAAAGAATGGCTGTAGTGGCGGGGAATCCACTGAAAATGCCAACGAAGAAGAGGAGATGACCCTCATCAAAACCGTATTTCAACCATGGAGTAGGGAAGACGACAATCGAGAACAAATCCTTGCAGAATTGTCTGTCCCAGAAGGTGATGTGAAGACTGCATCCGGGCATGAAGGTTCAGGACCTCCTTACTCCACTGGGGGTTTACCATTCTAAATGGTTCTTGCCCGACAATGATTGGGAGTCGCAGGGGCAGTTATCACTTGCGCTGCTTGGACGGTGCAAGCGCCAGATTCAGCATGCCAATATGTGGGAGACATACAAGGATATGCAAAGCGAGCACCCAAAGATGAGCCAGGCAAGATGTGCATCGTCATGCTCTCTGCAGCACGGCCGTTCGTTTGCTCAAAGTTCAGGGGGCAGTGTATCACAATTTCTTATTCTGCTCTCATTCAGAATTCTCACTTTTGGTCTTTTGTAAGACAGGGGAGGATAGATTCAACAGTTGAATACATTTTGCTTTTCAAAAATCCTTTCCATTGCACTCTTGCTTGCATTTGCTTTTCGTTTCCGCGCGCCTCAGCGAGCGGGCAAATTTCTGAATGGGATTGGATTGAGAAGCTGGAACGTGCACTAAGAATAAAGGCACCACGAGCCTTGTTTCTTGACAGACTTGACATGCTTCCATAGTCTTCCTTGTTCATCTTCTTGAATTTAGATTGCTTGCGTGCACTTTCTTCACATATCCTCACTGCCCTTGCCGTTGCTACGCCTCCCTCCTTGCTTTACATAGCAACACCTCATCCCTTCGTATTTGCAGATTCTCAAACTGTAGTTCTCCCTAGACCCCTTTCCCTCTCTTACCTTCTTCTCGCTCTCTTCTCGCATTTGTCTAAGTGAACCAAGGATCATGGATGTCCACTGGGTTACGCCCCCTTCACCGTGACCTGCCTATGATCCTGCAGGATCATAGGCGCTTCTTTTCTTTCCCCTTCCCTTTGCACCTTTCCTGCACATTACACTTTTACTCTTTTTCCCCTTTCTCCACAACTATAAAGCACAAAAACAAAACCTCCTTGCTCCCTCCATTCTCAAGGTCTAGCCGTTTTGGGTAGATCGGCTGCTAGCGGGTGATTGAGTGTCCAAAAAGTCCCATCATGATAGTGCTAAGTCAAGCTGAGTAACAAATTTGCTGTGATGTACTTGAGGTGCTCGATAGGCCCAACATCCTGATCTTGCCGAGCAAGGTGACATAACCAAAAGGGGATAAACCAGCATGCTAGTGCCAGGTCAAGCGGGACACAATTTCTTGATTTGAGTGTGCAATCCTTGCCGCAGGACCACACTACTCTTTTTGTTCTGTTACAATTTCTTTAGCTGATGTCCTCAAGAATGTTCTGTCTCTCCTTGTTTTCAATTTCTGCTGATAGCCTGTGTCTTTGCCCCTTGATCAGCCAAGGTTCATTGCAGATACAGTTGCACTTTTTCCTTTTACAGTGCTGATGAGTTCACAGCCAACATCGAAACTTCAACAAAGATGTTGTGATGGTTCAGGGGAGCAAGTTCGTCGGCTCTAGCAGGGATCCAGGAAAAGTCGCATCACCATGGACAACCAACTGACACTACGAGTGATTGTCACCAAGCCCGAGTAAAGAGCACAAGCAGGTGGCCACCTCACAAAACATTAGAACGAGACTTTTCTTAGGGAAAACCTCCACAACATTCAGCAAACTACTGCAAACCCGCTCTCCAACTTCAACACTTAAAAACAAGCATAGAGGAGGGAGGAGGGCCAAGCAGTAATGTGACAGAGTAACCAACAGGGACCATAAAGAAAACATGTTAGCAAAGGGGATAAAACTTGCGCCTGCAACGTAGTGAGTTCCCAATAACTGCCAAGATCGCCCACAGGATCAGCAATAAACAGACAAAGTTGATTGGGATTGCAACCAAATGAGTCTTTTACCTCCAGACAAGTCATTGCCGCCTCCCTTGTGGCAATATGTGAATCCTCCAAGAGCTTCACAATCTGCATTCGTGAACACCAGCAGTTTACAAGATTCTTATTCCACACCATAGGCCTTTCGAGCTAACAGTGGTCTCCAACAGGGTTCACCCATGGCAAAAAACATTTCTCATGGAGGCAACCTCTATGACACTTGTGAACATCCACCCAAAGCCCCCAATTCATGGAGGCCACTTACCAAACCAATGCCATGACACACTGCCATCAGCAGTCTGAGTTCAGCATCAAACGCACTGTAACCATGATACCCACTCCGGGGAGGTATATGCAGTCAGATTTCTTCAGCCATCTCCGCCCAGCATATTGGCGACTTTTTAAGGGAACCATAGGGGGCGGCGAGGAGGCAAAGACTGATGCATGCTCATTTGAAGATGAGCGATGTGCAGATACAGAGCAGCACCAATGTGAAGTGTACGACTCCGGACAAACAATGTGATAAGGAAATAGGCAATGTGCATCCAGAAACGAAACGATATAATGCAATGCAGCACAGCGGAAGACTCAAAGATATGACCTGACTCATCAGACTCAGACTCGACTCACGCAGACATCATTACACATGTAGGATCAGCAAGGACGGGAGTCATACATGGATGAAAGATCCCTCCTTGCCCGAACACATGGGGAGAAAACTACGGATGATGGAGGAGGGGAGGAGACGAAAGAGGAAGAAGGGGGAAAAGACAAGAATAACTCTAAGTAGTCCAAAAATAGTCTGCCCCGTCAAATGTCCAATAATCATCTCTCCCAGAATTTCAAATCAGTTCCTGGGGGCTCAAAGGTCCGAAATATTCACTGCCTGATCTCTCTCTCTCTCTCTCTCTCTCTCTCTCTCTCTCTCTCTCTCTCTCTCTCTCTCTCTCTCTCTCTCTCT